ATAGGACAAGCAATGCAAAAGGCATTAACTGTGAGGAAAGAGTTGATGGAAGAAGTATTCTCCCTAATAATGTGTTTATCTGTTCTTATCCCCAGAAGGATGGGGCCATATTGGTTCAGGTATGAACCAATGGACTGAGAACCTGGCTCAGAGATTACATTATCATATACATTCTTGCTCCTGTGGAGTTTTTGGCTGTCTTCACAAATATCTGACACAGATCAGCCCCCGCTGCAGCAGACTTCCTACAGTTACAGTGTTGCAATATGATCTCTGTGGGAGAGAAGGCTGAGAAAATTTCTTTCTCTGACTGCAGCTTACTGATAACATAATCTTAGCCTAGACAAAGTCACTGGACTGGAGCTCAAGGACAGATTTTTAATGATAAAAAGTAGAGCTTTTTGAAAAACATTGCTGTATAGGACAGGAATGTATCCATGCAGACCTGTATAGTTACTGAAAAGTTCATCTTAAAGTGTACTAGTAGGCATAACAAAGTAGTAAACTGACAAACTCCATAGGAGGCTCCTTAACTTTCATCTTCTGTATTCAAACAAACAGCTCCTGTTATTTCGGTTGCAAACAGCCTGACTTCTCCAACCTCATTTGGCCTTAACTGGTTGCAAGATACGGGCAAGAGTTTGCAACCGAAAAAACCTGGTCACTGCTTGCATACAAGAGCCTCCTAGGTTTAAGGGGTTCTAAAATGCCCTACAGAACCTCAGAGCTGTGTCTGGAGCAGTGTAACTGCCTTATTCCTTTTTATGTTGCTTTATAGGGTTTCATCCTTCATAGGGAGTTTTTGCCCCCTTCTGGATTAACTCTGGTCAAGTCGCAGTTTCTAAAGCAAGCAAAATACTTTCTTGTATTATACGGGGTCTAGACTCCAGAGAGAGAGACATAATCCTACCCCTGTACAAAGCATTAGTAAGACCTCATCTGGAATATGCAGTTTAGTTTTGGGCACCAGTTCACAAAAAGGATGTTGTGGAACTGGAGAAAGTGCTGTGAAGAGCAACTAAACTCATAAGAGGCATGGAGGAGCTCAGCTATGAGGAAAGATTAGCTGACCTGAATTTGTTCTCTCTGGAGAAGAGGCGATTAAGGGGGGACATGATCACCATGTATAAATACATAAATGGTCCATATAGTGAGCTTGGTGCCAAATTATTCACTTTAAGGTCACTACAAAGGACAAGGGGGCACTCTTTGCGTCTGGAGGTTTAACCTTTGCTTATAGATAGGCTTCTTCACAGTTAGAGCTGTGAAAATGTGAAACAGACTCCCCCAGGAGTTAGTTCTAGCTAGCTTTTTTTAACTGTTTAAAAAAAATCTGGATGTATTCCTAAAAACACAGAATATTACTGGATATTGAGTTCTTAGAGGTATATTAAGCACCAGAGATTGTTAAACCAGGGAATATCCAACACGTTTCGAGGTGATAGGAGCGACGCCTTTCGAGGTGATCCTCTTTTTCAAGCCTTACCTTTTGAGCTTGAAAAAGAGGATAACCTCGAAGCTCGCCGCTCCTTCACCACCGCCCCGTGCATGTTCTTCCCCAGCTTTTTGTCACTTCCACTCCATCACGTCCTAAAAACACTGCGATCAAGACTAGAGGCAGCCTCTCCACCAGCTCCTCGGCACACACAGCACTCAGTACAAATTGGCTTATCATTTATCCTTTCACCCCCGGGATACTCTGAATACGTCTCGGATCGCCATAACCCCATCGGGGGGCCCCCCCTGTCAGGACCCTCAGCTCCTCAAGTAAGTCCCGAATGTTTTGTTTTTTGATGATTTTTTGTTCTTTCTACCTGTAACACATAGACATTGGTTGTCCCTACACCCTTTACACTCCCAGGATTTGCGCTCTCATTTGCCTCATTTTTATAATTTTTTTGCCTTCCTCTGGATCAACAGGGGGTAACTGTGGGCATAACGTTCTG